TGTGAGAGGCACCGCTGGGCGGGAGGCAGGCGGTCTCCGGCCTTCCATGTGTTGTACTCCTGCACCTGGCTGTGACACAGATGTTTTCTCTATGTGTACTCATTAAAAGTGTCTTTTATCCACAGAGAAGATAAAGCATGTCATATTTAACACATCTAATATCGTAAAGTATTTAATAACCAAAGTAGAATGGAGAACACATCGATACGGGTTCACGCGTTCGCTAGGTTTGTGGCTATTTTATGTGCGGTGTATTTGCCATTGCACCACATTCACGAATCTCCTTCATTAACTGGGAGCCTAAGGTTTCCCCAGGGCGGAGGGGATGTGAAAATAACAGTGCTGTGTGACACCTGTGCCCGACTGCCCGTGACAATCCCAGTCATTAGGCCTCCTCGGGGTGCCACCGAGCCCCAGTCCATGTGGCCTCTGTGCCATCATTTCCTGCTGTACACACGTGGCAGCTCTTTATACCTCGAGGTATTGGGTCCACCTCCCCAGCCCCGACCCCGAAGGCAGAGACCATGCTCCTTGGTGACCTCACTGCTCTGGGCCAGCCGGAGCCCCACCTGGTACCAGGAAGCTGCAGAAACATGTATCAAAGGGAAAACGAGCTGAAGAATGCATGAATGAACAAGCGACTTTCTGTCCTGCTCCCCTTTGCAAATGAGTCCCTGTCCTCTAGAAACAGCCTCCCAACCCTGGGTGTCCAGGGAAAGGCTGGTGACCAGCGACCCTGGGGACGGGATCCCTGGGCTGCGTGGGGTGGGGACAGACAGACTTGAAAGCCCCTTCCGCTCCCGGGATACTGGGATTTGGTTACCTGCCCAGGGTAGGACTCCAGACAGAGACAGTGTGCGATTAACAGGGACCAGTAGATGGAGGGAGGGGAGGAGAGAGAAGAGGAGGGGATGAGAAAAGTGAGATGTTTATGGACACGCACCAGCTCTGAGGATGGTAATCATCATACACTACGAATACATAAGAATAAAAATGTCAAAGAGGGGCCAGGGTACAGCTGAGCGGCACAAGCGCCTGCACGGAAAGGGCAAGGTCCTGAGTTCAATCGTTGGCAACAACAAAAAAATTACAAAGAGTCGTTGAAGAGTTTTTGGGAGGCACTGCCCTTCCTACTGGATAAACAACCTTTTCCTGTTATTTATTTGTTTATTCACTTCTCTGGTCATACAAATAAAAAAGCTTTATTTGTGACCAAAACAAAACAAGACAAAATTAAAAAACTAGAATTTAAACTTCTTAAGGGCACTTAAAGATAGTCCCAAAATTTAGAAAGGCTGCTTTTTTTTTTTTTTTTTTTTGTCTTTTTCCTTTTTACCGGTACCGGGGATTGAACTCACGACTGCCTGCTTGTAAGGCAGGCACTTATGCCGCTGAGCTAAATCCCCAGCCCCCTAGTAATTTGTCTTTTAAGATGAGGTGACGAACAAATGGCTCGTGCTTTTTACACTCTGACCTGAGAAGTTTCCAAAGACCAGAGAAGCCTCTCTGCCCCCAGCCCCCATTCACTGGAGTCATGAGCAAGTAACATTTCTTGTTAGAATACAAAGCAGGGGAAAATAGCTCACATGTTACATAAAATTATTTAGAAAATGAAAACAAAAACAAAAACTCTTCTGCAAAGAGACAGAATTGTGCGTAATGGAAAACTGAAAATTCTCCAATCTCAAAATGAGTCAGCAAATAACTTCCCCAGGACAATGACCAGGATGGTTACCTGGACATTGACCAGGGACCAGGACGGTGACCAAGACCAGGTGATCGGGGCATCCTGCTGCGTGGATAGACCTGCTTCCATGGGAACCCCGCTCCATCTCTTGGCTTGCAGGGAGGCTCTGTAGGTGACGGGTCTAGGTCTGTGCCTGTGGAAACATACTGGGAACAGAGCCGTGACACTCCCGGGTGATATTTACCCACGGGGAAGGATTCACACCCCTCGGAATGCGATTACATCAGGCCCCTTGGCCACCCAACCTCTTGGCCCCGCCTTTGCCACATGCTATAAGGCATTGTGTACAGCCTTCAGCTGGGAATTCTCCGACTACAGAGATCCATCCACACCTGCTGCCTGCTTCCCTCTGCCTAACCCTGCTGCTTTTCCCTCCCTGATCTTAGTTCCCCCTTGCCCCTAAGGAAGCCGGTTTTAGCCAGGATTCTTCATCTTCACAATGTGTTTTCTCAAAGACAGGAAATGGGGAAGCCAAAGAGGAGAAGGGAGGGCACGAGAGACCGGTGCTGCCTTCCAAGTGACCGTGGCATCTCCTGCTGCCTTCTTGCTGTGTTCCTTCCTTCAAGGGCCCCACAGTGAACCAGCCCCAGCTCCCCACAGGGTAGGAGTGAGTCCCACACATGCCACACTCGGGGGAGAGGAGGAGGAGTGTAAGTCTGTGAGTGTGGCGTCACCCACAATGTAACTCACCTATGTATGTGCCATGGACGAAACCAAATTCCCAGCAAAATTGGGCCACAGAGCATGAGTAGCCCAGGGTGTCAAAGTCCTGAGGCTTTGGCCGCGATCTAACCGGTGACTCTCCAGGGCCTTCCTTGTTTGTTGCCTCATTTAGTTCAAAATGCGTTTATCTGTCAAAGTGACATAACTGGTGAATACTGCCCAGTTTGCTACAGGGAGAAGGAGGCCAACTAGAGCTGAGGAGGTGGCTTCTTTCCTTTGTCTCCAGCCGAGGGCACAACAGACAAAGACACTGTTCCACTCGCCTGTCCCTGTCCCTGCCTCTGTGTCCCGGGGAAAGCTGTGCTCTCTGGGTCCCCGGGTGTGGGGCCAGAATCCTGGCTCCACCGAGTCATCGCATGGTCCCAGTGGGCTGAGCACCAACTGCATTTCCCTAGCGGGACCTCCAAGGAAGTCTAACTCGAATGTATGCTTTAGCAAGAAAAGCTGCTGGCAGCTGTGGTGCCTCGGGAGACACAGGAAGTCACCCGAGTGAATCTGACCATCCTCATGCTCCCAGTAACCCTCTAATGGTCTCAGTCACACTCCCGTGGCTGCTCCCCTGGGAGAAAAGTGTGTCACACAGGTCAGGTCCGGAAATCTGTGCTTTTGGCAGAGGTGAGCAGAATTAAAGATGCAGACGGTCCAGACAGCGATTCCCTGGACTCCAGGGCTCCAAAAGGAGGATGCAGGTAGCAGTCTGGTTCCAGAGTTCTAGCTGGGGCCAGAATCCTTCCTGCTAAACTGGCGGGGTGATGTGTTCGGGAGGCAATGACAACTCCTATACATAAAATTCAAGAGACCCTGTCTTGGTTACTTTTCTCTCATTGCTGCGACTAAATACCTGACACCAATAATGAAGGAAAGGTTTATTTAGCTTATAGTTTGTGGAAGTTTCAGTCCATAATCAGCTGGCTCCAAGTTAGGGTGACGTGGCACTGGGGCAACACTTCAAGGCAGCAGCCAGCAAAAGCAGCCAGAGCAAAAGATGGGGCAGAGCAAGCCTCTTCTCCTCCCTTATATCATACATTGGTCATCACCATCACCCACACCCCTTGGGTGCAGCACTCATAAAATCTCCTTGCCCTCCTCTTGCACAGGCTGAGGATATTTACAAAGTAAAGGACTCTGGCTCCCAGCTGAGTCTCTCAGTTAAATTTCTGAACAGCTCAAGTTGACATAACGTATCAACCATAACAGAACCTCACCTTGAAGGCTTGGGGGTCAGGAGTATGTAGTGCTCACAAGGGCCACTTCTCCTTGGGAACAAATATTCGGAGGATTCTGCAAACCCTGACTGGCGCTTGACAGCTAAACCAACCTGCTGCATTGTGACCAAAACACCACTTTCTCTAATTGGCGGTAGGGGGGAATCACCATGAAACAATTCAGCGGACCCAATAAAAGCGTAGGCACCATATGTGCCTCAGTGGGTTAAATGCATCACACGAGTGACTTTTTCCCACAGTCACCTAAATATTAACTCAGAAGATCTTTTTTAAAAAAACTGCACTTTTCTGCCAGTGGTGGAAGAATGGGAGACAGAAGCGTCCGGCATAGAACTCTTGACACTCCTCACTGTGAAGTACGTGTGCCCTCACCACACACCAGGCTCCACCGGCAGCCTGTGAAGCACTTCAGAGACAAAGCCACACCATCGCTACTAGTCCAGTGTGGATATTTTCTATCACGGAAAATCAAGGCCTGAAAAGATCAGACGCCAGACATCTGACAGCATGGAGGTACTTGTGGTTCGGTGAGTGTACAGGTTAGTTAATGGGCATAGGCTCAACCCTGAGGAGGCTACCATGATGGGGAACCAAAAGAGGAAGCAGGAGATGCTCGTGGACCCTTAAGACTGGTTTCTGGATCATCCAGTTCTTGCATGAATCAGTAGGGGCTCTTTGTCTCTGTCTCTGTCTCTGTCTCTGTCTCTGTCTCTGTCTCTCTCTCTCTCTGTCTCTCTGTCTCTCTGTCTCTCTCTCTCTCTCTCTCTCTCTCTCTCTCTCTCTGTTTATTCATTGCAGCCAAAAGGTTCTTGAATGGCACAATTGCTAACTCCCAACGAGCACTTAACCAAAATAATTCATTTTCACAGATTGTCTTAACCTTCGTGACAACCCCATGAGCTAAGGATGTTTATTTTTGATATATTTACATATTTGTTTCTTTATATTTGGTACTGGGGCTTGAACCCAAGTCTGCAGGCCTGCTAGGCAAGAGCTCTACCCCTGAACTACATCCCTAGCTCCAAGTTCCTTTTCCCAGATAAAAACAGCACTGAGGCTGAGAGAAGCTGCACAGCTTGGTAGTGTAGCTCAGTGCAAAGGCATGGCTTCTATCTCCGCTTCGGATAAAAAGTTTGGTTTGTTTTAGCTCAGCCCAACCTTAGTGCAGGAAGCCAATCAGGCGAGTGTGTTCTTGTGTAGCTCTAAATAACTGGGAGCCACATTCTGAATTCAGTGCTGAGCAGAATGTGGAACCCAGGACTCAGAACCACATCGCACCTCTCCACCCTGGAGTAGAAGTCATCGTGTTCTTTGTGTAGCTGGATTCCCGCTGTGGATGGAGCTGGGATTTTGGGGCAAAGCCCCAAAGTGAGCCCAGTCCCATTCAGGAGGCCCTGAGACAATCACTGGGGTAGAGTTTGGACAACTCAGGAGTCTTGAGCCTTCTGACTACCAAATATGGGCTAAAAGCATCTCAAAGGATCATCTAGTCGGATGGACCTATAATGCTTGAACTGTCCCCATCTCTCATCTTGGTGCCAAAATCAAGGTTCACCCCAAGCGTGGCCCCTAAACCTTTACAAGGAGCTCCCGTTAACCCTAGGCAACTCACAATTTTGACAGCCAAATACTTAAGGAGCCTGTCCCTGCGTTTCAGCGCCTTCCAGCAAGTCAAGTGGTCACATGTCTGAGGGTGAATGGTCCTCCGAAGATTCCTCCAGCATAATCCCAGCAATCCTAGCCATTAAACACCTAGCTATCCTCTGAACACCTGCATTGGATCTCTGACCCCTAAACAAGCACAATTCTCAGTGCTCCCTCCATCCAGGGAAGGGGACCAACACCATAAATAACTCCCTCATTCTGGGACTCCGCTTCTGTGAGTGTTGCCCCATATTCTCATACTTCTAAGTCTTGTGATTTTTTTTGAGCTCATGATGAATCTATTTCCCAGGAAAACTTCTGGACAGACATTCCCCCAGCCATTGATTATTAAATTCTACTCAACTGCCTAGCTACGGTCATTGTGACCTAACGAGAAACACACACTTACTTGGTCTTTCCCCAACTTCCTGGCACAGAGCTCCTAAAAGCCTTGCGATTTTTGAGGTGCTGTCCTTTCATGCGCTAAAGAGCTGTCCAGTGGCCAGGGCCTTTTGGACTGTCTCAAGATGGGATCTGGCTGCCAGGGAGAATCAGCAGGTGATTAGAGGGTTGGAACTTCAACCCTTCCCCTCCCCTGTCTTCCCAGGAGAAAGGAGGGACTGGAGATCAAGTCAGTCAGCCCTGGTCTATGAGTTGGTGAATGGTGCCCATGCAGTAAAGCTTCCATAAACCCAGCCAGAGGAGGTCAGAGCACTCTCAGGTTGGTGAGCAAGAATGCACCCATGTGCCGGGGGGGGGGGGGCGGTGGAGCACCCCAAACCCAAGGGGGACCAAAGCACCAGTGCTTACACCCCTGCAGTGGGCTGTCTAGGGGGACTGAGGCTTTTATAACCTCCAAGGGCTGCACTGGCTGGGGCAGTCAGCGTCAGGACTGGGCTGGATTACAAAATGCTCTGCTGATGTCCACAGAGCATCAGAGAATTGGCTGGTAAGGAGAGAATCCCACACAGTGAGAGTTGGAGGTATTGGGGGAGTCAAGCATGGTGTGCCTTATCCTCCCAGCACTCTGGGAGGCTGAGGCAGGAGGATCTATCACAAGTTTGAGCCCAGCCTGGGTAACTGAAGGAGAACCTGCCTGGCAAAATAGAAAAGGGCTGTGGGTACAGAACAATGCAGAAGTCCTAGGGTTTAAATCCCAGTGCCACAAGAAGAAGAGGAAGGGATGGGGGAAGCAGAGGAACAATTCCAGTACAGCAGCCACTTGAGGAGAGTCACAGCAGAAGACAGAAGGACAGCAGAGGCCTTCCCCGGGCATGGACAAGACCAGAGGTAAGTTGAGTCACAGTGGCTATGCCACCAGACTTCCTGGTTACCCTGAGGGTCAGAGTCTGGATAGCGGGAGCCCTTGTCATGGAGCAGAGAGACCTGACTCGGTGAGGGACAGACTTGAACCGGAAGACTGAAGGGGAAAAGGTCATCACCTAAATGTTACCATAGTGACACACAAAGCCTACTCTCATAGTGCTAAGGATGATGTCATCACATCTACTGTGACTAGTGTGGTTCTACAGTTCTAAAAAAGCACAAAGTGTACATGGAAATATTCCTTAATGGTTGTAGCAATCAAGGTGCTGTTGGCGGCAAGTAACAAACCCTTCCCCAAAGGCAGCAGGGCTGATGTAACAAATAGATATAGTATTTCATGGTTATTGTCATGTGGTTATTTCATGGTGATTAGCTCATCGTGAAGTGACACAACTCTTCCCGAGCAGGCTAATTTGGCATCTCACTTAAATGATAGAGACCCTAGCTCCTTCCCTCCTTCCTGGGCAGGCTGACAATGTCAGCTGCACTTGGGTTTGTCCTCTGATGGTTGGATGGTCCCAGAAGCTCTAAATGGCATCTTCTCCTGCATCCAGAGTTGGGGAAGAGAGAACCATCCTTCCTTAAGGGCTCTCTTAAAAGTTCTTTCCCAGAACATTCACCTGCAACTTAGAGGCCAAAACTGTATCATATACCACTCCCAAAGCTACCAACAACAAAGGAAATTCTAATTCTCAGAACCAGCCCAGAGGAAAGGGACAAGCCAGGCCATCCTGAAGCATCCTCCTGATGTCAGACAAAGCCAGGGTTTGATTATCGGGAAGGAATTCGGGGGCTGGACTTAGGTGCAGGACCAGGGTTAGCAGCCAGAGTGACAGTGTTGGAACTACCTCCCAATGTAGGGTGCCTGATTTCTGTTACACTTGGCAGAAGTCTAACTTTTGACTCCTTGACAACAGGAACATAGCCTTATGCATCATGAAATTCCCCAGATGTGCTCAAAATGAAGTGGTTTTTGTACTTGAATGAGCAAAATGATTGCATATTTTTCCTTGTAATTCACTTCTGTTTTTATTACAGGAATGGAGAACCAATCCAGTTAATAAAAGTAAGATTTCTGGTGGCTACTGGTGTCGAGATATCCCAGTCAGTCTTGTGCTACTGTATCAGAGTACCAGAGACTGGGAAATTGAGAAAGGACAGACCTTTGTGTCTCACATGCTAGAGCTGGGAAGTCCACTGTGGCCAGGGGCTACTTCCTGTGTCATTTATCCCAGGGCTGAGGGCATCTCAGGGTGGGAGAGAAACTCCAAACTCATCTTCTTCTCAGGAACTGCAAGATGATCCCCTCTCCCACGGTAGTGCCATTCACTCATGAGGTTTTTATGAGTGGCGCTCTCCTGGTGACCAGCAGCTCCTAAACATTTCCAACATTCATTGGCACAAGAAAAACATTACCATTCCAAAGGGTACTAACAGGGGGATACAAAGGAAAGGGATCAAAGGAAATCCAAAATCCAGCAGGGCAAACATTAAGTCCTGGAGTTCTGCAATCCAGCGCCTGAAGCAATCTGGTTGTGAGCTCCAAAAGGCTTGGGTGACTCCACCCCCATGGCACTTCCAGGAGTTGTAGAGCCCATAGCTTTTCTCCTAGGCCCACTCTGCTCAGCCCTTACAGCCTTCCTGAGATAATCCACATTCCTGGCTTTTCCAAACTTCTGGGTTCTCCATTGTTTTTTTTTTTTTTATTTAAAGAGAAATAAATAAAGGACATGAAAAAACAAAGCAGTGAAAGGGTACAAGTAATAGAGAATTTCAAGAAAAAAATATACAGTAAGAAATCACCAGTTAATACGTTACATATTATCTTCCCAGAAACAGTTGTCCAAATTACAAAATTAAAGCATATAAAGTGGACATTCATACAGTGACATTGTAGACAGTTCCGTTCAATGATCCAACAAAAGCTCAGTAATATTTTCCATCCTACACACTCAGACATATCTGCGGTTATATACCTTAGTCCACTTTCCTCTCTTTTTTACAATAACAGTTAGACTTTTTGGATTTTATTATTCCCACGGTTCTTATTACTTTTTTTTTGAAGAGAATAAAACCAAATGTGACTAAGCAAAACAGTGTCAAAACAGAAGGATGAACATAGTACATGATGCAAAAATAGAATACCAGGTGATCAAAAGTGGTTACCATTGTGCCTCTTGCTATTTTTAAATTGAGTTGCCTCTATCATCAGGTATAATAGAATTGATCAAAACAGTACAGAACAAGACCAATAAAACCTACACTGGAGACCTTACAGGACTTCAAAAAAAAAAAGGATAATAGTCAAACCATAATGGGCATCATAGTATATCTTATTGCCTTCAAAGTGGTTGCCTATACCCGCAAACTTGATACTATCAAACAAAACAGAATATAGAATAATCAGACAGAACAAGATGGGGAGAGCAATACTGGGGTTCAAATCAGGTTAATAGGAAAACCAAGAAAGTTACTATAATATGTCCCGCTATTTTTTAATATAGTTTTCCCTTAATTAAAAAAAATGATGGATCCCGGTACCAGGAAAAAGACCAAAAAAAAAAAAAAAAAAAGAGAGAGAAAATAGATTAATTTTAAAAGGGGGGGGGGAGAGATTGAGATAAGAGAGGACATTGTAACAGAACAATGCAGGTCAGAACTAAACAATTCAAGCATCATTATGTTTCACCACCTGATAATCTAACATAATAGTAGTCGCGATAGTGCCTCTTTCCTTGAATTATTTGAGTGTAACTTCATATGCTATAACATCAAGCTTATCAAGACAGTGTGAAGCAATTCAAGAGAATGCAAGAATTACAGAGTATTTAGAACCAGTTAATAGAAAACGAACAACAGTTTCTATATTATCTCTTTGCTTATAAAGAATTTTGTTTATACTATAGCATATAGTGAAATATAGTAAGATACATCATGTTAAAACCAGTGGAAACAGATGTACCACAGCTTGATGGGACTTCAAAACAAGATGCTATTAAATCAGCACTAGCTTTTATGTTGTGTTGTTTTCTTCAAAATAGCTATTCGTAATATCATAGATACTAAAATCGAACAACCCAGGTTAAAACCATTGCAATTAATGAGTGAAAACATTATATGGCTTCAAACCAATATGATTGGGAATCATGATTACCACATACTTTTATGTATTCTTATCATTTCTTACACTAGGGAAACTATTCAGTATTTATACATGTGAGTTTGATTTATTTCACTTATGAGTATGATCTCAAGCTGCATCCATTTATTTATAAATGTCTCAATGTGATCATTCTTTTATAGCTGAGTAGTACTCCATTGTATAAAAATATCACAGCTGTTTTATCCATTCTTCAGTTGATGGACACTTAGGTTGTTTCCAAGATCTGGCTATTACAAATTGTGCTGTTATAAACATGGGTGCACATATATCACCGTGGTATGATGCTTTCAGTTCTTCTGGGAATATGCCTAGAAGTGGTATAGCTGAGTCAAATGGGGCTTCCAGTCCCAATTTTCTGAGAAATCTCCAGACTGACCTCCACAATGGTTACATTAGTCTACACTCCCAGCAACAGTGCAGGAGAGTTCCTTTTCCCCACAGCCTCTCCAGCATTTATTGTTGGTGGTTTTCTTGATCTTAGCCATTCTTTCAGGAGTGAGATGAAATCTCAGTGTGGTTTTAATTTGCATTTCTCTAATGACTAATGATGATGAACATTTTTTCATATATTTATTTGCCGTTTGTATTTCTTCATCTGAGAATTGTTTATTCATCTCAGATGCCCACTTTTGGATTGCGTCTTTGAATTTTGGGGGTCTGATTATTTTTAATTCTTTATATGTTTTAGACAGAAGTCCTTTTAGACAGAGGGGCAGTTCACTAAGATTTTTTCCCAGTTTGTGGGTTTTCTTTTCACTATGCTGGAGATTTCTTTTGACATGCAGAAACTTTTTAATAAGATGTGATCCCAGTTATTGACTCTGGGAAGTATTTCCCGTGCGATTTGAGTCCTATTCATGAATTCTCTACCTAATTCTATGTCTTCAAGGTTTTTACCCAATTTGTCTTCCAATAGATTTAGTGTTTCTGTTTTAATATTTAGATCGTTGATCCATTTAGATTTTAATTTAGTACACGATGATAGGCATGGGTCTAGTTTTAGTTTTCGGCATATGGAGAGCCAGTTTTTCCAGCACCATTTATTAAAAAGACTGTCGTTCTCCCAGTGAACATGTTTGGCCCCTTTATCGAAGATAAGGTGGTTGAGTGTGTTTGTAATTGTGGTTGTATCTTCTAATCTATTCCACTGATCTTCGGCTCTGTTTTGGTTCCAGTACCATGTTGATTTTACTACAGTTGCTTTGTACTATAACTTCAAGTCAGGGATTGTGATACCTCCTGCCTTGTCTTTGCTGCTTAGAACTGTCCTTGCTATTCTAGGTCTCTTCTCACTCCAGATGAATTTTGGGAGTGATTTCTCGAGTTCTATGAGGTATGTTGATGGTATTTTTATCGGGATTGCATTGAATCTGTATAAAAGTTTTGGGAGAATAGCCATTTTCATAATATTTATTCTTCCTATCCATGAGCAAGGGATGTTTTTCCATTTTCTGAGATCGTCTTCAATTTCATTTTTCAGTGTATTATAATTTTCCCTGTACAGGTCTTTCACTTCTTTCGTGAGAGTAATTCCTAGATATTTCTTTTTTTTTGGTTGCTAGTGTGAAGGGTGTGGCTTCTCTTACTTTTCTCTCGGTGACTTTGTTGTTAGTGTATAGGAATGCTATTGATTTTTGAGTATTGATTTTATATCCAGCTACATTACTGAATTTATTTATTATATCTAGCAGTCTTTCAATGGAGTTTTGGGGACCTTCTATATAGAGCATCATGTCAACTGCAAATAATGATAGCTTAACTTCTTCTTTTCTTATCTTTATGCCTTTTATTTCTCTCTCTTATCTAATTGCTTTGGCTAGTATTTCCAACACTATATTAAATAGGAGCAGTGAAAAGGGACATCC